TATCTGACCTCGAGGAACTGGATTCCAGCACCAAATACCCAAGTGTTCCCAGTACACTTTTTAACGATTGTACGAAAATATCGAAATGTTGCATAGTTTGTTACCTGATAGGTGTTTCTTGGACTCTGATTATGATCCGGGAAAGGTATGATGGAAGCGCATACACCCAAAATCATTGCTGGATGTATTTCACAGTGTGTATAAGTATCACAATAGCCGCCTGCTTTCAAATCTTCCGGCATCATTGCAAGCATTATTGTTTCTGAAAACGGCAAAATGCTCATGAAGGAACGAGTAAAATTTTAGCCGAAAAATTAAACGGTGAATGTTTGCTGAGAAATAACTCTGGAAGACAATAAGATCGAGAAAAACAGGAAAATTTTCCACCTTCCTCCATGGCATCGATCAGTTCAACAACACCACCGGCGACCAGTTCGGACCACGAATAACTGTTATCCTTCAATTGGTCAATGTGTTTCTTTTTCAGTGCAAGCTTCTGATTTTCGACAATCAGCAAAGGGCGGCAAACTCGTCCCGCATCCGTGAAGATTCGAATTTCCCGATCACGAATGTCCCGTACCATCGACACCTCAAAATCAAGCACTGTACAATCCACATTTAAATTCCTTCAGAAATGGCAGAAATTCACACTCATCCGCACACCTCTACTTTATTTTTATAATAAACTTTGACGGCTTGCATTTTTATATTGTACGCATCAGCATGCATAGAAAAATCCGGAAATAACAAACTTCCGAAACGATAATATCCATTTCTCGTCGCAGTTTCTTCAGTGTAGTCATCAGCTGCTCCGGATCGCGATGTATGCCCACCCATGCACCGTTCACAAAGATCTTTGTCGCTTCGGCTATTGCTGACGGTGCTACCTCTGCAGTGGAATCTTACGATTTAAAAGTGATGGAAACTTATAAAGGAAAGGGAAACAGCGACTACCAATCAGCCCATACACCATATTACTTTGATTGGGAGAAGTCGCTACTCCAATGCCGTAACGTTGCCCACAACCAAGCTGGTGCCATGGATTCTTCCTAAGAGTACATCATCATCTACATTTCGCAGTCTGCCCCTCAGCTATAACCGTAGATCCCTTTCATTAATGTTGTCATGGTCGTGCTTCCTTGCGGACCGCCTTCGAGCATGGACGAGCAGTAAATTTTCAGAAATTCTGATAACAAAATAAAGCAAACCTTCTAGATTCTCCATCGACCATTCTTCTAAGAATTCGAGAATCGGTTCCGGCAAACTGCCAACTGATATATAAGCCATTAACGCCAAATTCTTCACCAAACCCACAGCTTGGCCTTCAGGAGTCTCGGCCGGACAAACCATACCCCACTGTGTGTTGTGAAGTTGCCGTGGTTTCGCCAATTTTCCTTCGCGGCCAATCGGCGAATTGCAACGGCGCAGATGTGAAAGTGTCGCTGTGTATGTCAGACGATTCAACACCTAAAACATTTTCAATTACACTAAGCAGCGGTGGTGTCCTTCTCACGCCGAGATTTGCTCCTTCCCTAAGGCAAAATATATATTAGAAGCACCAGGCGAAGAAGTACTTCGCGCTA